CAACTCGAATTCGCGTAAGAGTATTGTCGGAGGCGACAGGGAACGTGCGGAGGTGCTTGCTGCCGTGCGCAAGGGAATCCTGAAGCGTAAGTCAAAAGGGTTTATCACAAATTCTCCTGCTAACAGTCTGTAGGCCCTGGCTCAGCCAGCCCTTCTATCCGTCCTGCTGATTCCTCTCCTGGCCTTGATCTCCCCAGCGTCCCGGCTGTCACCGATTCCCCGAACTCCAGTGCCCCTAGCACTCCTAATGACGAGTCTCAGGGCCATCGCCGAACTGGGTCGATTGCTATTGGCAGCGAAGACTACTTCATGTCCGCTTTGAGGCTACGACAGGACAGCAAGAGCGCACCAAACACTCCTCATGGATCTACCAAGCGTAACGCTACTTTCTCGCCCCGTATTGTGTTTCACGATACTTGGCCTAGTCAGGAGTACGATCGTCGCGGTGAGATTGCTACCTGCAACCGATTGACTCCCATGCTTGCGCAGCAGATCAAGGAGGAGCTGAACACCTTCAAGATGGTACGTTCTGACGTCGAGAATGACAACGGCACACCAGTTGCTAACAGGTTATAGGAAATGGAGGTTCACGAAAACTCAAAGATTTACACGCACTTTTTCTGATGATGGCAATGCCCACCACGAGGAGCGAAGCTTGTTAGCGCAGTGTTTTGTTTCCTTGACTGATACCGGAGATCAAGCCGGAATCTTGTATTGCAAGCAACCATATTAACCGCTTGGGCGTTTGGGACAGCATTGTACGGTGTTTATGGTGTTGATCACTCTAACCAGTCTCTACATGTCATGTGGAATTTAGACCAAAGAGTCATACATTTCTTTAATTTTGTTTTTCTTCATCTCTCTTTTCTTTTCATCTGGGACCGACGAGGAATGGAGCGTAATGGAAATTACATACATACATATTTCTGGGCTTGCAGCCGTGTAACCATTGAATCGGGGACACTGCGTTAATTCACAGAACATCATTTGCTAGTCTTGTCGACATGAAACAATAAAAAATCAATGGAATGGATACATCATTAAGTTTTAATTGTCTGGTCGGAACATTTTGCGTCGCCCCGTGAATGTTTGAGACAATACTTTACCTTGTTTTCAGCACATCAGTACAAGTGCTCAGGTTTATTCCGAGTTGGCATTCGGATGTAGGCATCAGGGGCTTTAACATGATCATTAATCTCGATTGCGTGTAGGTAACACTTTAGATTTTGTTTGATCTTCATTTGATTCAGGGGATCGAATCAATTTACAGATAAGGGAAGAGAACTTTAGTACTGTACATGATTTGTGGTGGAGGGGGTTGCTTGGCACCTTTAAACAGGCTGGACCCACTACTGGAGGTACATGAGGAGAGGAGAATGAAACGGTACGGAGTACATGTACATGTACCTGTGCCTTGTACCCGCGCATTGGATCTCTCGGAAATAAAGCTTAAGCCTCAAGGTCCCCGCGATCTCTTCAGCCACAATCGTCCCCCACCCCCACATCCGGGCCGTAACATTACTCAGAGGTAAAACTGGGAAAAAATCATTTTGGTGGTCATACAAAGCTTGTGAGCACTCTCTCTAAACCACTTTGCGCCACGTCTCGTTAAGCACTCTGGATCGATTAACACGACGAGCCTGGCTCTTGAAGAGTCCGGGACATCTACATCTCTCTGTTTCAACCCCCCGATTTGTCTATTTCACACAGCGCATGTCTACAATGACGACCACAGAGGAGAACCCCACTAGCGCGGGGGAGCGACCTACCAAGCTGCAAGGACGAGCATTCTACGAGTCTATTGGAAGCCCCAAGTTCATCGTTGCGCCTATGGTAGACCAGTCTGAATTTGTAAGTTATTGCTCGATCTGACAATGTGCGAATTGACTGACAACTCAGGCCTGGCGCATGTTGACTCGAAGTTTCATTTCCCCCACCGAACAGAAGAGTCTTCTTGCCTACACACCCATGCTCCACGCTCGACTCTTTTCGCAGGACGACAAGTATCGCAAGGCACACTTCCAATCGGTCAAACCCGACGGCGCAACTCCCTGGCTTGACGGAAACCCTTCTATCGACCGACCGCTATTCGTCCAGTTCTGCGCCAACGACCCAGAAGCGCTCCTTTCTGCCGCTAAGCAAGTCGCCCCTTTCTGCGATGCTGTTGACTTGAATCTCGGATGTCCTCAAGGTATCGCGCGAAAGGGAAAGTATGGTGCTTTCCTCCAGGAAGACCAGGATCTCATCTTCCGCCTGATCAACATTTTGCATAAGGAGTTGCCTGTGCCTGTGACCGCCAAGATTCGAATCCTGGACACGAAGGAGGAGACCCTGGCATACGCGCAGAATGTCCTCAAGGCTGGCGCATCCATCCTCACTGTCCACGGCCGACGAAGGGAGCAGAAGGGACATTTGACGGGCCTGGCTGAGTGGAAGATGATTCGATTCTTGAGAGACAGCCTACCCAAGGAGACAGTCATCTTCGCGAATGGAAATATCCCTCAGGAGGGAGATATCGAGAAGTGCCTCGAGGCTACAGGAGCTGATGGCGTGATGAGCGCCGAGGGCAACCTCAGCGACCCAGCCATCTTCTCGAAGCCACCACCCGTCGGAGAGGAGGGACGAGAGTACTGGAGAGGAAAAGATGGAAAAGGGGGTTACAGAGTTGATGCTGTGTTCAGACGATACATGGACATCCTACACGAACACGTTTTTGGAGAGAAGCACATCGAGCGCCGACCACTCTTCATGCCTGGTGATGATACTGAATGGATGAACGAGAGCGAGACAGTTGAGGATGAGCCACCGTCTAAGAAGCGAAGAAAGGATTTAGGCAAGAAGGGAGAACAGGGCCCCAACATGTCAGCCATGCAGCCTCACCTTTTCCATCTATTGCGGCACTTTGTCTCCAAGCACACCGACGTGCGAGACATGCTAGCCAAGAGCCGAGCTGGCGACATGGAAGCTTACGAGCGTGTACTATCTGCTGTGGAGCGCAAGGTTGCAGAAGGTCTCATTGAGTACGAACGCACCAATGGTGAGAGCGTGGCGGAGACACCATTGGCTGAGGGCGAGGAGGATCCCCCTGAAACTGAGAGCTCAGTAGGCACACAAAGGCGATGCCGAAGACCTTGGTGGGTGGTTCAACCGATCATTCGACCTCTACCAAACGAGGCGTTCAAGAAGGGAGCTTTGACTATGAGTAAGAAGGATAAGGTCAAGGCACAGGAACAGAAACAGGAGGAGAAGGGTAAACAGGAAGATATCAAGGCACGAGATGAGGCTTTGGCGGGATAGAGTTATGATTACAATGAGTTTAATAGATGGCGTATCGAGGTGAAATGGTTAGAATAGATTAAAAGACATGGCTTCTCGCAATGATGATTTGGATTCTATATATCTAGTATAAAATACAGGGCAGATGAGGAAGTGGAACTAGACAAAGATGAAAGGATCGTCTCCGTCACTCAAGATAAACTGCCATAAAGAGTGCTGCAAATTCGCCTGTAGCCTCTCCAAATGGTTATGCACAAGCCCAGGATAAAATATAGATACTGCTTATCATTGTGTTTGTTCTTTGTTACTATATTTGTTGCCTGGATATGTCCTGTATCGAGAGGCACAGATGAGAAGAAAGAAGTGCATTGCATGGGTAACTGCACGTTGAAATTTGTTTGCAACAAACAAAAGGCATTACAACGGGGTGCACTCCTAAGGCTAGGTAGGCAGCACAGCATTAGAGCAGGCGTCCATTCGAGCGTTGCCTTGATCTGCCCCTTGTTCAACTTTGCACCATCTCAGGTCTGTCTTCTCTTCTTCATCCTCTATCATCCACACAGGAACACTATCTACCCAACAGAAACGAGCCTTAGTCCAAGACATTGTCTCTATCACAGCACCGTCCCATATCCCAACTTTCGTCAACCCCTGAATCTGCACTATGGACAACATGCCAGCGCTCCCCACGCAAATTTGGGCTCTGCTGAAAGTCATTTGCTCCAGCGGCGGCTTGATTACCACTGATTTATGCAAAAGTTAGTAGGGATTTGAGCCCTGTATTACGGAATCTACTAATCACATATCACTTAGGTTTCCTTTCGCCCTGGGCCCAGAGTCTGACGAATAATGCTTTATTTAGAAGCGAGTTTTCTGAATTCCTTAGAGCTGCCTTGGTGTGTTACGGAGGGACTTTCTGCGATCAGCATGGAACTTGCCATTCCCTAGAGAAACCGGCCTTTTTCATTTTTCGCAATGTCAAGTATACATGCTCTGTTTGAGATGGCAAGGATAGTTAGTATGAGACCGACATATCAGATTTGGGCTTCCTTATGTTAGCTAATATCCTTGACCCTTGGAAAGGCATTGATATTTTGTCTTTAGCTGGGATTGTGCCAAAACGAGTCCCTGAAAATAAAATACTTGACTCTATCTTCTGCTCTCCCTAAACCTTTGATATAATATCTGTTGAGTGGCATTCTTTGTTGATAGCATGTGTTGCATCCTGTTTTATGCATATCTTTGTTAACTTTGAATATTTCAACTCTTGAGTGATTACTTTTGAGCGGATTGCTATCGATTGAAGGTGTTTAGAAACTTGCCGTTTGTTTCTCTCCCTTATTTTGTTTCTTAGTGTATTGAGGTAGAACTGCAGTCTTGATGTATCTTGAATTTGTGCAGACTCAACATGATCGTTACAGAACGCTTGCCTATGCATACAAAGAAACAAAGACCAAAACTCCAACAACTGAGATAAGCCACCTCAAACCAAACAGTCTAATTAACAGTGCAAATGTCAACTTCGCTGCCTGACTTGAGATATGAGCTCCTTCTTAATGCCACCAGCAGCTTAAATCCCTTCTCTTACTTACAACTCTATCGTCTCAAACACATACAAAAAGAAACTAGCAACAGCCTCCAAGATACCAACCCTAAGAGTGCCTCATCGTCCCTCACGTCAGATTGCTTCACTCCTTCTTGAGCACTGACTTAGCATTTTCACCATGGCATGGTTCACAGTCATCCTTCAGGCTTTTGGCTTTACACCCAGTGGTCCGCTACTAGGTTAGAAACTACTCTCAAATAAAGGAGTTACTATGCTAACTTGGGCGTCACTAAGAATCATTCGCGTCTTGGGCTCAGGGCTTGATAGGCAATGTTGCACCTAGAAGCCTCTTTGCAATCTTTCAGAGTGCTGCCATGGGTGGTTACGGAGTCGATATCTTGGGAAGTGTAACCAATATGTTTTCTGCCCTCGCAGGTGGCGGCGCATTTGCACGTTTCGTGTACTCGGCTTTTGGCCAAGCAAGAGAAGCTGGGAACAGCACTTATACCGGTTGAGAAAGGACAACAGATTCCTCCATCTCTTTGCGTTCTTTTTATTACAGTGTGACGGTGTACAATCAGCTTATGTCTCTGAAAGCCTCTGGATTAGTTGAACAGTTTCGTAGAGCTCTGCTTATCATATACAACCTCACTAATACGAACGTGACCTTTCCTACGGTGTTTGCATATTGCATGTACTACCCTTTCTGTGAATAGGTTGACGTGCTGCTACTCTTGTTTCGCAGGTTTCTATCATTCAGTGTCGACAACGATCTATATCAACTTCAAACACTCATTTTGACTTTCATCTCAAACACTCTCTCATCCATTACTAGGAAACCACCTACCAAACTTCGGTTAATCTCAAACAACCCACTTCATTTGATTCAGAATTGGAGACAACTATCATGCTCCCATCAGTCAAGTCGATTCTGTTGGCGGTGAGTGTCGCTGAGCACACTAGCATTAACAGCCATGTGCTGACAGGAGGACGAGGCAACCAACTACACCCTTCAGTATGTAAAAGAGAACCCGGGATCCATAATGGCCATGGGTTTAGGAGCTGGAATGGTCATTGCACCTGGTCTCGTGGTTGCACCCGCTATTCAGCAGCCGGGTTTACTACAGAGGGTGTCTCTGCGGGTTAGTTTTATTAAACATTTCATGCCTACGGTAGCTTTACTGACCTGTTACAAGGATCACTTGCTGCTGGTATCTAGAGCATAAGTGAGGACGTCGTGAGTAATAGCGCCTTTGCGATTTGTTAGTCACATGCAACTGGCGGCTTAGGCACTGCCGCCATTCATGGTTTTATACGGGGGACTGGGATTGGGGTCGGTCTTGGTTCCATATTTTCCAAGTGGAAACATGATGTTAAGCATTGTAAATCTGATTCTTGAGATAGCACAGATAGTTCAAAGGCGGATGATAGTGACCAGGAGGATAACACTGGGCCGAAGGTATAGCCTTGCCGGTAAACGGCACTTGTCACATTCTCTTGCATGCCCCGGATGAAGAATGAAATCCTCTGAGATGCCCTCACTTAAGAATATCATCTTCCAAAATGCCCTAAATTGAGGATATGATCTTCTAAAACAGCTTGATAATTGTCTGTGAATGCTAACTGAGAGATACAGAGCTCGCAAACCAAGGCGGTGTTTTATTCTTCAAGACTTCGGAACCAATAGAGACCCGGTCCATGATTAGGGATGATCAGGTAGGTAATATGTTTCAGTTAATTTTCTAAGTTGCGTCAAGTATTGAAAGGCTAAGTCGGTGGTTACTTATTCCAGTTGATGGGCCAGCCATGCTCCTTGTTCGAGTTGGACATACCGCCAATAAGAGAACATCATGAATTAATTGCTTGACGTTGGTTGCAGAGAAACTGACTTACATGAGGCCGCATTCCCTGGGCCTTTGTTACTTTGTTATTTGCACAGCCCCAGGTAGGTCGTGAATTGGGCTACCCAAACTCGATGGTAGTGAATGAACCAACAGTGCAGTTGCCTGCCAGCTGGTTATTGTCTACAGTAATATTCCTCCACTGCCTTCATTTCTGATTCTTTTTCTTTTCTCATCCCAAAATGCCCACTGACACATTTTGGACTATTGACTACTTATCTTCTTTCCATCTTGTGAGTGAGTGAAACCACAGTCGACTCGAGACACCGGCTAACCATGAAATGTAGTCTCCCACTCGGAAAATGCAACTTCTGCAGAATATGACCTCGACAGCAATGATAGCCACCGGAGCAGTACTGGCCATAGCCCCCGCTGTTGCTGTAACCCCCGTGTTGGCTGGCTTAGGCTTTGGTGCCGGTGGCATTGTCGCTGGTAAGTTTCTTCTTGCTTTCCTTTACATATGCTAACTCTATATGAGGTTCAACTGCCGCTGGTATCCAGAGTGGTATTGGCAGTGTCGTAGCTGGTAGCACCTTCGCCACTCTCCAGAGTGCCGGTGCCGGAGGCGCCGGCCTTGCTGTTGTCAACGGTGTTGCTCAAGGTGCGGGAGCAGTCATTGCTGCTACTGGTCTTACTACCAAGCTCAAGGGCCAGAGTAATGGAGACAACGACAACGGAGATCAGGAGAAAACTGATGGCACCCACGATGGAAACGATGCTGAGGAAATGGTTTCTAAGTCGAAGAAAACCTGAGGCGACGGGTTAGGGGACAAGTACACGTCTGGCTAGTGAATGATGGATCTTGGTTATACACATCCTATCTCGATTGACTGGCTGCACAAAATTTGGCAATGCTCTGGATATCATTTGATCCTAGATGGCTGTTAGTTTGATAGATGACAATGGATAAAAGATTACTGGGGCCTTTACCTCAACTGGCATTGTAAATGCTCGTATAGTGCTTGGTCTCTATTAGTACCTAGTTAGGATGCTTGATGTTGCAGGCAGACTGTAAGATGACAGTATTGCAGAACACTCGAGCACCAAGGGCAATAGGGTGCACAATCACCAGTTTTAAAATTGTAGTAAGAGCCCAGTCGGATTTCCTTATACCCTTGAATGATTTCGGGTTTGTTGCTAGATGTAGTTGGTGGCTATCAGTTTGACACTCCCGGTTTTCCCAACACCTTCTCGATTTTATGTATTCATATACAAGTAGGTATTCTGTGTATTTAAATAACTCTGTCTTTATGTAATAGAGTCTCTGTTCTTCACGCTTTGTGCTGATTGCGCAGATCTGAAAGCTGTGCATAATTAAACAACCCCTATCCTTCTTTGATCCCAGCCATATGCACTTCAAAAGTGAACATATCGTAGACAGCTGGAGTGCTTCTGCACTCGTTGAGGCGTGTTGTGTCATACAGTGCCACTGCGAAGAATAGGTACCTATGTAGGTAGGTAGGTGATGCTGAATCACTGTCACACACTGCCTGCCACTGTTACACCTTGTGCCCTGCCTTAGGCATCTTTCTCTACCTTGTGCCCTGAATCTCCGCACTGGCTCTTATTTATGATCTCGTTTTCTGCTCTCCTTCTCTCCTCTTCTTTCTTCAACAGGTAGCCACATCTCAAAACACAACATAACACACAACACACAAACATACCTGCCTGAAATATCCAACATGTCAACGTCATAGAATGACCAACAAAAGGGTGTCGCTTCCTTGTCGCCCGAGGACGACATTAAGCCCAATGGTGGGGGTGAGGGTGAGGTCCCGCAGAGTCACGTTGAGCGTGAGCTGATGCGATTTCGCCGGGTAAGATATCACAAGTCAGCCTCTTGCCAAATCTCGATTATTGACAACATCTTCAGCTTAAAGACAACTTCTTTCGGTCTGCGCCTGCAGTCAAGGAAGAGCCCAAGGCTCCCAGATGGCGACGTGAGTTCACGCACGAGTGCCATCAATTTCGCTTTGATGGACATTGCCCCCGAGGCGCGTCTTGTGATCTCTTCCATTTCGTGCCATGGGAACTGCCAGGAAAAGAGTACACGGATCATCCTGTGGACCTCTTCTTCGCCAACTTCAAAGGGTTTGATCATCAGCGATCCAAGCCCTTTTATGACGAGTTCGATCGCATGTGCGATCACTTCGGCTGGTCTGATGCCGAGGCCACTGAGCCCTGGTATAACTTCCGCATCGCTCTTATACAAGAGTTCACCTACGTCTTTGGAGAGAACGACCGCAATCTGTTGAATTGGCAGAAGATGTTCAAAACCATCGGCTTGCCTGAGCCAACTTCTCTCAGCGAAGCATACACAGTAAGTAAAATCCTTGACCGCAGCTATTTCCAACAGATGACTTACAACAAAATCAGGTTATGCGTCCAATCCGTGTCAACCTCATAGACATGCTTGAGTCAAGTCGCACCGGCGAGCCAGTCCAACGCTTCAAAGCTCTAAAGGATCTTAGCCACTATTCATATGAACAAAACAAAAATTTCCCCAGACCTCCTAGGTCTCCCAGACGCAAACGCAAGGATCCCAAGCCTAAGACGTACTCAAGCGGTCTCTTGAAGATGATGCTTCGCGAGATCTCGTTCCAAAACCAATATCTGGGGACCAGGCTCGGGGGCACCGAGCTGGGCCTGGATGATGGAGATTCTGTATCTGAATCGCGTTAAGCTGTCTTGGACCGCGCCCATCATTATCATCATTCTTTCTTTGGTGAAAGCTTTCTCCTCCTTCTGGTCGACGCCTAAAACCATCAAGCAGCTTCTTTAGCGCCAGCCAACAATTCTTCTTCTGCTGAAAGCAACCTTATTCTTCTTCTCCTTCCTTTGAGAGGGCTCTTCTTCTTTTCTTTGGCGCGAGCCACACTTCTTCTTCCCAGGATCCTGGGACCTTGAGAACGCCTGAGAAGCTTGTGGTTTCACAGCCCAAGTGGAGGCACCAGATCGACGGCTGGCACCTTCACGTGGTGATCTGGGTCAGTAGCAGAGAATTTTGTCTCCTCTGCGAAGCTAAGACCAGCCATACATATTTCATCTAAGTATAGCATCTACAGACAGGTTCAGTTATGCAGTCATCTAAAGAAAGCATATCAGGCTTATTACGGGGCCGAGCTCGTCAGCCAGCAGAGTGATTGCCTTCTGTAAACATGTCGTCAATAATTTCGTCCAGTTTTAACCAATCTCTATTTCTGTGTAATGTACCAGTCCGTATTCCTTTCGATGACATTGCGCTGCTGTAGCACACTCCAACTGTCTTCATTCCCCCACCGAATCACGCCAACAATGTCAGGCCCATCATCGTAACAACCAAAACTGAACCCTCTGCTGACTGAAAGTCCGATGAAGGTCATACGCCATCTTGTAGCAGACATCCCTGGCTATCAATCATTGACCACTGAAGGAGAAAGTGGAGCCTTTATTGGAACCTCATCGCTCAAGATCACCGCATCAAGACCTCGATATGGCAGTTCTAACACACTCGGAATTTCTATAGCTATTCAAAGTTCTTATTTATGATAGAGACTCGGCTTTGAACCATAACTACATCCATACGAATATGGGTCTAGCCGACGGGGGAAGACTGCAGGTTCACTGGCAGTACAATAAAAGCCAGCCAACCATCAACTGTTTACTTCACGACTTGATATTGTCACAAGTTTTTCACAAAAGACTTGAACAGTCTTATACAATAACCTGCTCTTACGGTAATTGAATTTTCTGGAAGTCGCGCAGGTATATGCCATTCCTTCTCAATAATAAGAAGCTGGCAGCTAGCAGCTCTTTATTTATGTGATGAGTTTATGCCACGGCCGACACGAGATCGAGTTTAGCTGTCAAGACATATCCAAACAGCGAAGCAGTCACCTACAATGAACTGTTGTTTAGTATCAAAGCTAGTGATATCACAATATCAAGCAGTCAACACCACAGAGCGATGATTCCAAGTACGGACGTGGAGGCCACCGTTGGATTTTCGAGTGGAAGAGTACAATTCACGTACCGTACCGCTGCTCAAGAGCAACTCAACCGATTATCCTAAAGCCTGCTCGGGATCAGTTACCATTTCTTCTCTGGCAATTGACAGTTGCAACCTCGAAATGAATGTCGGATGACTATCGTAGTTGTTTGTTTGTTTGCTTGCTTTCTTTGGAGTGTATTTCGAGTGCAAAACAATACCATCAGCAGTCAAAGCGATATGGTAAGACTCTTGTGGCCAACCGATATACAAAATTAGCACAGCCTTGAACACGGGCTCTACTTTACTTGAAGCCATAAACAATAAGATCATCGGACTCACGAAGGCACGGTTTCTTCTCCGAGGCATGACCTGCAATGCATTTATTGAGCTGACCTTGACTGCCATCACCCTTGAGACTGTCGCATGAGGTTCAGACGAGACAAAAGCCGAGGCAACCCGGTTCATGATCCATTTCGTGCGCTGGAGTTTGAGTTACCCTTTGCGTTCAACGATCCTTATTCCAGCCTCGGGGCTGTTTGGTGTTGGAGGCGAAAGAGCCACAATCAACACATCCATCAGCTTGGGCGTACCGATAGGATGCGGAGTCAAAATATTCATCAGACTTTCTACTTGACAATGAAATAAATTTATATTGACATGTACCACTCGAATATGTGGCTCAATTCCTCTGTGTACCGTGAAGATGAAACTGAGTCTTGGGATAGTGATGACACAAGATGATTCATATGGTTGCCATTCATGTAAACTGATCTGTTGGTACCATAACATTTTGAGACACAAGGAAATGATATAGGGGCCAATGAGGGTTACTTATGATATGTGGCACAGGGACATTGAGTTCCATCGGAGCGATGTGTGTGAATATGTCGTGTTCCGGTACTGTCTCACACGGAAGCATGCCGTTAGCCATATGTCAAGCTTGCTTCTGGAATCTGTCCGGGTATCAAACTCACAAATAGTGCAACCGCATTGACACTGCACAATTGGCTGGTCTTAGCTTCCAGAGGAAATACCATCTGTACTGACCCATAACACCACGTGAAGGTGCCAGCCGTCGTCATGGTACCTCCACTTGGGTCGCGAAACCACAAGCTTCTCAGGCATCTCTAAGATTCTGTAACCCGGAGGAGCAGAAGAAAAGGAAAGTGTGGCTCGCGCCAAAGAACAACAGGAAGAAGGTGTGGCTCGCGCCAAAAAGAAGAAGGAGGAGGAGGTGTGGCTCACGCCAAACAAGAGGAGGAAGTTGTAGATTAGTTGGGGCTGCTTTGTAACCGAGCACGCGCAGCATCCAGTGACTCCTTAACGTAAGGCTGTCGGATGGTTCGAGCCTCGTCGCGCTTGACCGAGAGCATGTCGTCCTGAAAGAAGGGAAGATCCTGTACAACTGTGAGCATTTGCCATGGCGAGTAGTGGTACAACTTACAACAAGCCACTCTGGGTCGACAGCTGTGACATTTTCAATATAAATTCTGCTGCCGTATGCAATAAGTTTGTCAAACACGACCCATTGGTAACCCTGTCTGAGGAGAGCACTGGTCAATGGGACGACGGCAGGGACAGCATCGTGAATTGTCATATAGACATCTTCGCCCTTTTCGATAGCGGAGTTGGTAAACAAGCTCCGTGCTAGAGCCTTCCGAATCTTGTCTTCGAACCCATCGTCGAAAGGCGCCGATGTAAGCGGTATGACCAACATGCTTTGGACCTTTGCTTTGAGCTGCTCACGAATTTGAAGAACCTCCTCCATGACCCTTTGGTCGACGAAGGCATCGAAGCACCACTGTGCCATATCCATATTGCCCTGTAATTTTGTGCGAACGTACGCATGCAAGGCGTTTAGATTGGTGATATGATCCGAGTCCGGGCAGGTGAAACGGTTATGGGCAATTCTGGCAACGCCGATACCCGGGGGATAGAACAACACCGGGTCCTGTGTAGATCCAAGGGCAGCTAAAGCTACCATCTCCAAGCCACAGCCAAGCTTTTGTCCCTCGATAATGACATTATACCACAAGGGGTGGACCGGGATTTGAACAGCCAACTTACCCACGCTAGTGATTTTCGCATGGCCATCGATGTATCCCCTATCGACAAATTAGAATACAGTACGGAGAGTATATCAAGTCCTCTCACATGGAATTGAGCTCGTAAAGCGCCCGAAGATATACTTCTGTGTCAGGGGGGTCGATGAAGTCGAAGCTAGCGACGTTGCGAATGCCCATGGACATGAGCTGAAGAACCTCTTGGGTTATGGAAGAAGAATGGATCTCGGGTGTTTTGTCTGGGGCAAAATCTTCATCGTGTGCCTCCTTTGTGTACAGGCGGAAGCATACGCCTGGTCGTGTTCGACCAGCTCGACCAGCACGCTGCTTGGCGGCGGCTTGCGAAATCTCGGCGTTGACGAGAGTCTCCATGTCACCTCTTGGGTCGTACGAAGATTCCATCTCAAGGCCAGTATCTATTAATTAATGTCAGGTCTCTTGACTACAAGGGCGTGTTGCTGAACACTATGGATAGCTACTAGGGAGAGATTGATGGTACGGATCACTTACCAATGACATAGACAATGTCATCAACGGTCAAACTGGTTTCAGCAACATTGGTAGCCACGATACATCTGCGAGTCTCTGTAGTGCCCTGAGACACGGCTTTGGCTTGTTCACTGCGATTAAGTGCAGCATATAGGGGCAAGGCGTGCAACCTATTGGCGAGCCCTTCGTTCAGCTTTTTGCAGCACTCCACAACGCCAGCAACGGTGGGAACGAAGAGAAGAATATCCCCAGGGGGCATATCATCAGTAATATGCTTTGCGGTATACAAAGCATGCACCATCCAGTCCGGGGTTGCCTCTTCAAGATAGTAGATCTCGACTGGGTGAGACTGTCCAGGCACGTTGAAAGGCTGTCTCACGCCGAAATACTGAACGAACTTGCCCGCATCCATGGCATTAGACATGATGACAACTTTCAGGTCGTCTCGCTTCTGAACGGCGGCCTTAAGAAGTGCCATGAGGATATCTGTCGCCTTGGTTCGCTCATTGGCCTCGTCGATGATGATGCAGGACTGATAGGTATCAGCAACGTCTTCTCAAATGAATTTTCCAGAAACATTACTCACATATTCCGAGAAGTTGGCATCTTTGAGGGCCCCTTGGAGTAGCAGGCCATCCGTCATGAACTTGAGACGGGTGTCGGGGCGAGATTTGTCGTTGAAGCGCACAGAATATCCGACTTCCTGACCAAGGGTAACGCCCATCTCATCGGCGACTCGGCTTGCCGCGCTGTTTGCTGCAAGACGCCGCGTCTGTGTGCAAGCGACGACCTTGCCACTGGCGTACTCGTCGTACCAGACGAACTGAGGAGCCTGTGTCGTCGTGCCGGACCCAGTCTCGCTCATGAGAACGACCACCTTCAAAGAGCGCTTTTAGTATTTTCCTTTCCTTTAGAAGCAGTAAATATTAACGGAAGACCAACCTTGTTTTTGTGATAAACGTCAAGAAATTCCTGACGCATGGCCGACACGGGCAGCTCGCGACGGCTTTGAAGAATTCTGAAGTACTCTGCCGGGCGTTGTACTCCAGGTCGAAGAGGATGATCTCGTGCATCCTCAAGCATTTTAGCTTGCTCAGCTGTAGTATTGTTGCGCTCAAGGGAATCCATCTTGATGCGAAAGTCGTTGTAGTGATTGTGTTGGTGTTGGTGCTGGTGTTGGTGTTGGTTGTTATTTTTGAACTGTGGGATTGAGATGGAGGCTTTTGTGAATCAGATACATTGTGCTACATGTGACCAAATCAGAAATACCCTGATATTTGAGGCTTTGTTGGGACGTATGGTAGGCATCTGAACAAGTGCTTGACAGGTGCCAGCAGTGACAGGACTAACTGCGGAGGGGGAGGTCTTCAGGTCTCTTAATCAACGCCAAAGCGCGTCGTAAATACATTTCAGTAACTCCTATAACAATGTAATCATATGCCACAAGTCGAACGAGATCTTGAAAGTAAGGTATTCTGTGAGACAGTTCTCAGGGGTAAACACTGTGTAAACATTGCATTGTACATTCAAAAATCGGCAGCTATAGTGGCAACAGAAATTTCGATTAATATATTTATGTCGGTGTGGTGATGACCACCCTCCATTGTTATAGCAGTTTTATTGCAATGATATGTAATGCATGCTCAACTTCAGCTCTCCTCGTTAGCCACCAGAGTTATTGCTTTATATAAGTACACAGTTAATAATTTTTATCTAGTTTTAATTAACCTCTATTTCTATATAGTTTACTGATCTATGTTTCTTCTAATTATCTTTATGTTCAGTAGATAGTATACTCTAACTGTCTTGTCTACTATATGTCCTAATAATTGACTCCTCGCTCCTCTTTTTTCGCAGAAGCTTCTTTCATTCTCATGTCAAGCCTATGGTGCCTCGCTCTCAGAAAGGCTTGAATATGCTCATTTTCCTCATTCTGAAGATCAATACAAGGTATACAATGCCCCTCTTGGTTACAACAGATGCCGAACCTGAACTTGCCTCGGCCGTAATAAAAGACCCTTGATAGATGTTCAAAGTAGTCTCCGGGGGTGTCATGTGTTTTCTGAAGCTCTGGAAAGGCCGTATGGATGATCTGACCAAAGAATGACGCGCCTACCTATAGTCAGTACGAGACTTCGTGTGGTATGATGGCCGATCTACCTCCGATAACGGCAAAGAATACCGTAGCAAGAGTATAGCCCCAGGCTTCTGGTGGCATTTGGATTGGCGAGTTTCCAATCAGAAGGAAACCTATGATAAGAGCGGTAAGGCAGATGGTGGTGAGCTCCATAGTGTAGGCTTGAAAGTGTGCTGTTGAACAGATAGTTCTCCTGCAAAGAAGAATAAATAGATGGTAAAAAATCAATAGCTCATGTCATTACCTCACATCACTCATTCCATGACAAACAAAGAACTGTTTTTCGTGTTGTCACTGCAGATCTCCCTTTGTTATGCTGTAGCCACCAACGTGCAAGGTCTTCAACGAACAAAGCCCAGACACGTACCTATCGGGTGGTTGCAGATTTTAGGTAATAAAACGTCGACATCAGAGCATCATCAGATCTACCAATGACCTCTTCCTCAGGTCAGAATACTTGTAAAGTGTGTGGTTTTAAGATGTGTTGACTTCTGCATCTCTCCGATGCAAAGGTAACTTGAGGACAATACCGTCTATTCTCCTTATTTTTTGGGCCTATACGTTCAGATATTCAAATTTATTCCCTCCGAAAACCATCTACTTCTTCAATACACTAATGGCACAAAAAGACAAACTCGTTTGGTTGAGCATAGAGCACATTCATCATATCCCAGTCTCTAACTCAACCCTCAAATGGATTCGTAGTCTCAACGCTTGAATGCTCCATGTTCAAGACTGTTGAGAGTCTAGTCGCGAGCATAGTCACGTCAATGTCCAGCTTTTCCAAGCCAGCGCTTCCTAAATACAAGTCAGTCACTCTGTTGCCGCAAAACATGCGTGATAGACATACCAACGCCAACCGCGACGCTACCGAGAACCATAGTTCCGATACGAGCTTTAGTGTTTTTCGTCTTTGAGCCCATCATGATGATCCCAATGCCAAATGCAGTGAAGTTGTTGCTGGCCTTGGGCGGTTCCTTGGATCCTGGGGGAGTTTCCATACTGATGAACGTGACGCTTTTACCAGATAGAAAGAATAGGGGAAGCGGGATAGCTGAGGATCTGAGATACATTTTCAGAGGTCAACAGTATTTATATTCATAGGAAAGTCACTATTTCTTCACCCAGGGGCCTCCCCTTTATGAACCATGAAACTATTCACTTTGCCATGATGCATCCAACAAAGAGCATAAAATTCACCGTTGAAGAAATCCCAAGAACAATGACGCTAGGCCTCAAAAGCTTACAATTTCAGTAGTACTGCTGATAATATAACTCCTTCACCTGGTCTTCTTAATTATGAGTAACCCCCTTCAACTTCCCCGTCGTCCTCGCTTCATCGGTGGCGGTGACCGAGAAACACTATCGCTATAACGTCTCCTCTTTGGCGGCACAGGGCTCAAAGACTTCTTTACTCCACGGCGCGGGGGGCTAGGTGACCGCGAGTATGAGGCTTGGCGACCATTTCGCGCAGGCGGGGGCGACACGCTGTCTGGCCTGGCTCTTCTTGGAGGCGGGGATCGCGAATCGTATGAAGGTGAACGACTGTATTGCTTGCCAGCATCTCGTGGTCCGTCACTGACGGAAGAGCTATTGCGCCGAAGTGAGGCTGGACCGGGATTTCCGCGCGGTCGGCCTCGTCGAGGTGGGCTGCCAGAGTATGACCTCTCCCGTTTTCTCACAGGAGAAGGAGATCGGCTCTGGGAATCATATGAGCGGCTTCGCCCATCTCGAGCTGGAGGGAGCGGTGATCGTCCTTCCGAAGCGAAGGAGTCCTTGCGTCCACGTGCTTGCCGTGGAGGCGTACGGGAACGGCTTCGAGATGAGTATGAGGCGCTGCGAGCCCGACCCTTACCGTTTCGTGGGGCAGGGGATCGTGAGCGGCTCTCACTATCGTAACGACGTCCTCGCCGGGGAGGACTTGCAGAGCGAGACTCGCTGCGTCCCCTTCCTCGTGCAGATACAGATCTTGAGTATGACCTTGATCGCGACGAACTGTATGAACGTCCCCGGCTTCTTCGATCAGGAGACCGAGAAAGAGATCTTCCTCGGTCAGCGACCTTACGTGGTGTCCGCGATCTAGATCTAGATCGCGAGTAAGAAGAGCCCGTGTACGACGAGTAGCTTGAAACCGAATCAGAGTCTGAATCAGCCGCAGGGGGTGCAGGTAAAGCAGGCTTGGGCATGTTCTGTAGGTAGGTTCGCATCTCTTCTGTGAGAGCACCCATGCCAATACTTGTAAAGTAGTTGATGGAGAATCTGATGTTGCGGGGGTTGTCCTTCGGGAAGAGGCCTTCCAGGTTGGGGCGCAGGGTTTCGTCTGTCATTCGTGCCCTCAGTTTGGGCATACCGGTCTCCTCTGCGATGAACTGAAACAGGATCTTGATAAAGATACGGCTACTAGATGTGGTCTCGTCCTCGTTCAAGTGAATGACAGATAGACAGTGCCAGCCCAGGGCGTCTGAAGCGAACATGTGACCAAACAGCATCGCAATATTGCGCAATTTGTTGTTCTCGTATCGATGGATAGTGTCGTAGTACTTGGCAAAAGCCTGCTCAAATAGGTCGCACCACAGTCGGTTGATCTTGGCGAAGCGCTCACCAATCATACCAAAGAACTTGGTGTACGTCTTTTCTTGTGAACAGCACTCCACGATCATGGAGGGAAGTTCAGGTTCCTGGCCGGCAGGGAGATTGATCTTCATGAGCTTGTGAACAGCTTCCTCAGGATCGGCACTAGACATGATAGTGAGATAGATAGTTCTTCGTAGGTTGACCAGATCGGCATTAGACTGGTCCTTGATCTCCATGGCTTTCGTCTTCTCGTCCTCTTCGTCTTCGGACGAACTCTCGTATTCATCCTCGTCATCCTCGTCGTCGCTACCTTCGCCTAGGATCTCAGCCTTCAGCTTCTTGTACGCCTCTTCGTGCTCCTCCCACTCCGGGTCGAATTTGAAAATGTTGAGTCCATCTTGCACATCAATTTCACCTTCCAGCTCGATTCGATGTGTGATTTGATCCTCCTCTTCTACCAAGTCCAACTCCTCCTTGACAGCTGGGTTGTCCTTGAATTTGTCCTTGCGCACCTGGAACAACACTTCGATCATGTACTGTGTTCGCCTGTCGATATCGGCTTCGTGCAGAATGTTTCGAAATTGGTCAAATACAGCCATGGCGATAGACGGCTGCATCTCCTCCAGATATTGTCCAACCTCTCGGCAGAAACCAACCGCAATCTCAACGCTGTCATCGGTCGGCCTGTGAAGCAGGAGAAGAAGAATCTGACCGGCGAGCATTTCATGTTGAACCTGCTGGTTGATGAGATGCGCCAGGAAGGTAGTCGAGGAAAGGCAGACAGCCTTGTCGTTTCGCTTGAATCCCTTTCGAAACTGCATAACCAAACGACGAATCAGGAGCTCGCCGACCTGGGGTAGCTTGGTGTTGACGATAGCAGCCATGGCAGCATAAATCGGTGTGAACGGTAAACTGGCAGCCTGGGCTTTCATGATCGATCGACAAAACAAACCGCGGCCTCGGATCAGATTCTCTCCAAACAGCTCGGGGACGATGAACTTGATGTTTGCAGTATTGACCTTGTTGATCAGGCCATTGATACTCTTCTTGAGCGCCTCCCATGCCATGCGCTGATACTCCTTGCTCGTTTTATCCGTAATCTGGGCCTGGAGCGCGCGCAGTCGAGCGGGTGGAATATATGTACCGCCGGATCGCATCGTGAGAAGCTTCTCGTACTCTGCCTTTGCAGCCGCTTGTTTCTCCTCTTCGGTTCGCACAGGGACAGCTTCTCGTTTTTGCCTGGGAGAGGCTGATCGCTGGTCTCTTGCAGGACGATATGAATCCCCATCACGCTTGTCGCTGCGATCGCGGTCCCGACGCGGGAGATCGACCTCGGCGGAAGCCATCGTCAGAAAATTACAGTCGTAGTAGCAGTCGCGATCAATTTATTATGCCGTGCCAATTACTGCGTCCTGAATTTCGATGGCGCGGGGGCGAGAGAGTGAAAGTCTTTGCGAGCCAAGAAAGATGTCGTTGCTAGCTTCGTCGCGCGCGAAGTAAGGTGTACCTAGTTTGAAAAAAGATGTTCAGCCACGTCTAGAGCTGCAAAATCGTGTGGCTGTGCAATTTTGGCGCTCCACCTTAGTCGTCACGTCTCCTGAAGCGTCCCTAAAGCCAACTGGACTTTTTGACAGCAACCATTTCACCACCAAAAGATACTGCCACTACACTCCTTTATTTCTACTTCTCGGCCTCAATCTTCATCTCTGCTCAACAAAGACTACGCTCGCTCGCTTTGCGCATCTTTGACAATGGTAAGCAGCATCACCTGTCAAGGCCTGATTTACACGCTGTCCCCTTTACGCGCTTCAGACCGGGGCATCGTGGCAGCCCCTCGTGGTGCTTCAACTTTACTAACATAATAATTCTTGTTGCAGTTGGACAAAATCGTCGGTCTCGCCATGCTCGTGGCCGCTTCCGTCGTCTTCACCTACTACACCATCTGGACCCTTCTCATGGTAAGATGCCCCTCATTTCTCAGCTCGATGCGACTATACACCCCTACCTATCTATGTACACCCAGCTTAAGTATTGAACACATTGTCAACTAACAATTGGTTAGCCCTTTGTCGACGACGATCACCCTCTCCAGAACTTCTTCCCTCCTCGTGTTTGGGCCATTCGCATCCCCGTCATTATCATCCTCCTCGGTTCCGCTGTTGTTGGCTCATTCCTCGGCATGGTTATGATTCGGAGCAACCAGAAGAAGGCTGCAAAGGCCAAGGCTGCCGCGAAGAAGGCCAACTAGACGACGACATGTCGATTATATACTTGTAATCATTCAGTGTCTTTTAATGGCGTTGTTTCGCCCAAGACCTAACCACACTATGGGACTTCAAAGCTTCAGGCCAACGTCTTGATACAGAAGAGATGAACACTACAGGAAATGGGTATCTAATCTTTTTCTATTTATAATAAGGCATTATGAACTGCTAAACGACCGTGCTAAAGAGTGTTTCTTCCGTACAAGCAAAATGCCCACATATCAGAATCAAACTCCAACATACCGGACCAAGAGTTGAGTTGAGCGTAACTAATCATGCTTCACACGAAAAGATACAAACTTTGCTCCATACTGCCAAACAGCTTAAGCAATGAGTTACCATTCCAGCTTCGTATGCATATAATCAAGCAAAGCCAAGGACCTAGACGTCAACCTCAAGCGCACATTGTCTGTCTGAGAGTTCTTCTCACACTCTCTGATCTGCAAAGTCCAGGACTTCACAGTCATCCTCAAAAAAGCCATCCTCACCTTGACTTCCACCTTGCGCTCCACGTCGTCTCCTCGTAGTCACCACGATCTGCTCCTGGTCGCCATACTGCATCACTCGCTCCATCGCTGAAGGGGGCAATGCGATATGGTCTTCGGGGCCGTCGTACTCCTCCTCAGCAACTGTTGGCAAGCCTAAATCCAGTCGGACCACTGGAATATCCTGACCAAAAGCCCAGGCCGTCGTGTTTGCGAATTCTTTGGATGAATTTGGTTCCATGGGTTGCCCCTTCTTTTTCTTTTTCTTGGAAGTAGTGTTTTCGTCTAGACTTGTCTCGGCAAGTATAGCTGAGACAACTTCGAGCTGTTCAGCTGTTCCTCTCCGGTACTCACAGAGAGTTACTCGTCGATCCGTGTGGAAAGGTTGGTAGGGTGCACTAGACTCTATCTCAGCCTGAGGGATTGACGATTCCATAGTCTGATCTGTTGCCGCAACACGAGGTCGGGGGTTCAGCGTCAGCGTGTTTCCTGCATCCATATCACGGTCCGAAAGGTCGAGGATTTCATCCTGAGCTCCCAGGTCAACCATCTGTCGTACAGCTGGAGCAACCAAGTCGCTGGGTAGGGTCGGCACATTGTAATCGTAATACCTGCTAGCTCGTGTGACTCGTCTGCCAGCCTGCACGCTAGATCGGCGTGTTCGACAGGAGAAGCCTCGTACTAGACCGTTGCCAACCACAAAGAGTCCTTGATGTTTTCTGCTTTTGACCCAGGTCACGCAGGATGCCGAAGGACGGCCTGAGCTAAGCGGCAAGGACACTCGGTTTTCACCAGTATGCCGAAGCTGGTTGATGGCGGTTCCTGTCTTGCCAAGTGAATTGCTGATACTAGCAGCGATCACTCGCCCACCCATAGCCGCTGAGTCTTTTAGGCTGTTGCCTGTCACGTTTTGTACGTTACCACTGCTGCGACGAGGTCGGGAGACAAATGGTTTCGCAGCTTGATAGGCTGCACCAAAAGCTCCAGTAGCTAAAGAAACAGCAGTGTTCGACTGCTCTGGTGTTGCAGTGCCACTTTCTTGGACAGCCTGGCGACGGCGAGGTGCAGGCCACATAAACGCACTTGAGGGCATATCAAGTAGATGAACAGTTCCGCGCTCGGTTACCATTGCTAATCGCTCTCCCTGCGATTGCGTCCAAGCGACGTCGACAATGCGTGCGACGGTCATTCGTGAAAACTGTGCAATCTGACGGACCTGAGGTCCTGTGCTTGCATTGGGCGTGACAGTGGTCTGGAGAGGGGATGATCGTGTATGTTGAATACGGAAAAGATCCCAGACTGTTTGCACATCGCCTTTGCTGCTGGCAGTGAACAGGGATAAAGATGATGGCGAAAATGAAAGAAAACTGCAGCCCAAAGGCGGCGAAAACGTAGTAATTGGATGAATGGTAGATGAATTAGTGAGTGACTCTGCATCAACAATCGACACAAGCCCTGGGTCTTTCGCTCCAACCGGGCCGGCAGGACCATGCGTTGGTGGGAAGTTAATAGGGTCGCCACGAGGAGATCGAGTACCACCCCAGTTCTGAGGAGGCGAGCGGGCTTGTTGAGTTTGCGTTTGGGGGTTTGACGACTTGTTCCAGTATGAATTCCAAGCTTGCAGGCCTTGCTGTCCAACCCACTTAGCGCCTTGAATAAGCTCCTGGGTCGTCTCTCGCATAATCTTATTAACGACACTATCGGAAATAGGAAGATCCACCGATGCAGAAGACGAAGGGAGCTGCGGCGGCGTCACAGTGGCGAGCCCAGGTGCTTTGCCAAGAATGGGAAGTGGTACGTGAGCTCGCAAAGAGACTTGTGAAGAAGGCGTCGCAGGACAGTAAGCGATCCACCGTCCCCTAACTGCGAGAATCGGTGTTTGCGGATTTGAGCGTGGTGGTGAGGTCGAAGACTGTGTCTTATCAGCCTCCTCTGGCACCTCACCTCGGGTGCTTTGCTGCAGTCTGGTCCAGATCTTTCCGACACATGTAAAGACATGGCCATTTTGATCTTCCAATAGTTGCAAGTAGACCCAGCATTCGCCAGTAACGCCTGAGCAAACTGCAAGTGTACCTGCGTCCGCTCGAATCGTGAAAGAGCCACTAGGTGAAGGAGGTCTGAAAATTGGGTTCGTGACGGAGATTTCAGGGTTGATCGGAATCTTTGGCGCTTGAAGCAACACATCAACGAGCTGGTTGGTCCTGAGTGAGTACACCTCTACGGACGTTTGATATGAGTCGATGATCTGTCGCCCTTGGAAGCCATCCTGGTGGGTGAAGACGGATCGAGGACTTGCTGCCCCATCAAGCCTGGGGCTTGGTCCCTCGTCCTGTACAGAGCCAGGTACAGCTGAGGGTAGAACTGGTCCATGCAATACGACCGCCACAAGAGGGAAAAGAGCTTTATTACTGTTGTCAAGGGTCCAAGGAAGGATCTTGGCATGGTGGACGCCTCCTCGTAGTCCCTTTAGACTGGCAACAGGCTCAAGACCTCTCTTACCCACAGCGTACACATCCAAACCACCTTCATACCCCGCGATGACGACGTTGCTTGGGCCGAATGGGAAATCGGGGCATTCGGGTAGCTTGTCGAAGCCAAAGAAATAGCCTCGTTCGCCGGCTTTCATGCCCGAGTTGTTAGTCATGTTGAGGTCGATATCTGGTACGCCATAGAAGTGTGGCTGGGGTTGATGAGGCAGAGGTGGATGGTTTCCCATCCTCGAGCCTTGGAACGGGGAGTTGACCGAACTGCGTCGGTAAGGGACACTCGGAGGTGGTGTCTCTGGAGATTGATATTGGGCGTCCATCTGGAAGCTCAAAGGACGTCGGCTGTGGTTTGGTGGGGATAGAGATGAAGGCGAAGGACTCATAAAATGACGCTGTACGGGCCATCCTTGTTGCAGTCGACCTGAGTCCTCATAAGAAGACGGTTGGGTAGGAGGTGAATCGCCCATGATGCTGATCAAGTTTCCTGGAGAGCCGGCCATGCCGTTCCTCATCCATTCATTGTTCATGCTCGGTGCAGTGCTCACGGAAGCCGGAGTTGTGGACAAAGCAGCCAGCATAGGGGAGACAGCAGGGTTGACATTGTCAGGGCCAGAAGAAGGCTTAATCTCGGGCGTGTCGACGGGGGGCGTGGAAGCGACCGAAGTAGATGAGCTCTTATTATCTCCGCTACTGCTGATATTTGTATTCACGTTATCCTTGTTGGAGTTGGCGTTACCGTTATTGACAGTGACGGTGCTATGTGACTGTGGTCAGCTAGGTACATAAAGTGGTCCATGATAGCCCAGAGGAGTCATGCGGACAGGGAGGCTCACGCGAATTTACCAGCTGTTTGCTTTGTCACGGCCGCGGCGATGCCGCCACTTTCTCTAGCATGTTTCCTCTCCTTCTTAGAAGCTGTTGAGAGGGTCATGGTCAGCTCTCCTGTTTGTTAAGGAGGAGCGCGGTTGCGCAAGCGGTTCAGGATTGGGGATCTCAGCGAGAGCCAGCGGCTGATAGGTCATACATAGATGGAGGGGTATTAAGGTGGGAATAGAGTTCCCAGTAGAGAGGCACTTACAAGGCATATGCAGATTTGGACAAGTGTCGGAGCAGTTTCCTACCCCTAAAACTAAAACGCTACGCTCGCGTTTCTGCAGAGCGCGTTTGTTATAAAAGAGGCGTCAAGTCGAATATCTTGCAGTCGAGGTGACGCCGGCACTTGTCTAGGTTCGAAGTCTGTGTTCCTATGTATTTCGCTTCGCTCGCACAGATCGGGGGTCGATTCGCAGTAGCTACTATCGGATATGGGAGGCGAAGGAAAGGAAATGCAGATCAATATCGGTCAGGGCGAGTTGAGCTGAGTTGAGTTATTATCGTGAAAGAACGGCGAGGTGCTCGAGATCGTTGGTTTAGCGGCGTAGACCAGCTCGTCGCGTCTATCAAGTTGAGTTGAGTCGATGCAATATAGAACAGATGCAGAGATGCAGGTACAGATGAAGAAAAAGAAAGATCGTTATAGAGTTGGAAACTAAGGAAATATTCAGACGCTTTGTTGAAGTTTGTGTCGTATAGTCATTCACAGTTGTAAGTGAAGGAAGAGAGCTCAAAGGACTGATGGGAGCTGGCCGAAGAGTCACTCTCTGATAGATCCCATCCCCTCCAACCCATCCATGTGTGAGGCCTAGATTCACACCTCTGTTCCAATGTGACGTGGGGTGTAATAGAGGGGTCGGGTGGCCTAGGGATGGCAGTAGGCAGTGGAGGCTGGTAGTGGACATCACCACCACTGTAAGCGATAAGGAAGTGGCCCTTCTTAGGTACCTAGAGAAGGGTTGATAAGACGCCCCTTGACCCTCCACCTCCACCTCCACCTCCACTTTCACCCGAACATCATCTTGACGGGCACATCAATGGCATTGGCGGATCTGCCACTACCCACGCCTCGGCCTGTCAGGAACCAAACCAAACAGCCCGCATTTCTAGCTCAACCCGGAAGATCAAAGGTTTCTTTTTCGTACCGGGCAACTGGATAGGGAGGCATGATTGACACATCCAATACGCGCGGTTATAGCGCGCAAGCGCATACACTGTAGTTCGCGATTCTGTTGACCTCGACAGTTTCTGGATAAATGACGAGAACAAATCTATAATGGAACAAGGTCCATCCGGTCTGCGCGGGGTTGAGTTCATGCGCTGGCCAGAGAGTGAATGGGAGGGTACAAATCCGGAGGGTACAGCGCCTCAGTTGCACCTTGAATCGGGTTTCGATTCGATACCTTGCCCTGTCATCCACCATCATAACAGGTTTGACAGGCTTCCATGATACTGGGCAGTATACTCGGCTATCTTGAAAAGGTCACAACGATGACGACCGAATCTTCGATCTTATGCAGTCCTTATTGTCTCGATACCTGTCATCATTCACCCATTCCTCTCAAGGCTCAATTGATCGTGCGCCATCCATCCGACCCAGCTAAGCCACATGATTCTACGCCGTGATCATGGGTCAGGTGAGCTATGCCATTTACGCCATAAGCATGGCCGTGCCTCTCTAATCACCAGGGGGGGCAACATGCTGATATCCCAGATTTAGCACTCAAAGCAAGGGACGGTGAACCTTGGCTTAGCTCAGGAAACGCTGCGCTGCTACAGTGAGTATTAGATTGGCACCTGAATGGCCTCTTGGGTGTGTCTTTAGTATTTCTATCCTTGGCTCTCCCTGCCAGAGTTCCCGTCAATCGGCGTGTGTTGATCCCAGCTTTACCATTCGACAACGGTATTCTTCGGCATTTGTCAATTCTACTCCGCAAAAGTCAACATCTCCCACGAGCCTATGATGACGTATCCGGTTGGGTGAAGGAAGTGTTTACAGTTGCTCTGTGAGCGACCTGCTTGACATTGAATAACTAAAGGGCTATGCACAATTTCATTTTTGCTTGCTTTTTTTGGTTGGTTCCGTCATCTTTGTAGAACATGACTTTCACAGCAGATGTCCATCAGTCTGCAGCCAGACGCGATATTGGCTGAACTTCCACTTTCCATCAACCTTCCTGACGACCGCATGTGCCGACCAAGCAGCCTCTTTGAGCCGCCCATCTGTCGTGGTAACGCTGACATCTCCCAGAATCATGCACTCGTTTGAGTCTGAGAATCGCCCAGGGAAGACTTTGAGAACCGTGTGTTTGCGCTCTTTGATGTGCTTCCACATCCGACTTCGGAATTCGATCAGATCTGTTGTCCTTATCAGCTCACTGTCCCCAACAGAATGAAGGTGATGATGAAAGCATCGAAATACCTTTTGAGCCACGCGCCTTGTCAGCGCCAATCTGCACGCTTGCGTCTTCCGTGAAAGAGTCTACCCAACGCTGATTCTCCTCAGGATTGTCCGAGATACGATAGAAGTCAATCGCAAATTGTTGAAGCTCTTTGTCCTGCCATTCGTCCTGGGTAGCATAGAGTGGTACGTAGTTCTCGGGGGCGTTCTGAGCCATGGTGAGTATGTATTGTGATTTCTGTTTCTGAATATTTGAAGGAAGAGTTGAAGAAAATTCTTCGAGTGATGATCAAGGACGGGAAATCAGCTCTTCGTGATTTCTTAACTTGGGGACATATATGGAGAGCATGATGCAATTGTTCTCCATTAGAGTGGATCGTCATGACTTAGTAGCAAACTTTGTTTCGGAAAGTTGCCGTTCAAGCTCCTCTCTAATTCTTTCTGGAAAGAAATGAGGTTGTTCTTTCTATCCTTCTTCGGAGATTTTTCGACCACCCAAGGTACAGTGAGGAGTATGAGGCTGAGATATCATGTATGCTACGCCAGCAAGTCCGGATATATGATTGTCATGACAGCGCCACCATACGATTAAAAATAGACCTCTAGAGTTTGTATCTTATTAGATATAGATTTATTTCATAGCGGATCTAATTCAAGTCACAGTGCAATCTCAAGACTGGGTAGTTGTTGTGAACAATTTTTATCTGTTGCTTATTCCTCATGTTCCTAGCCCTTAGTATTCAGATAAAACTACAAGCTAATATCTCTTCTATATTCAATAACTTATGCTGCTTGGGCATGTGTTTAGGATGATCTTTATGGCAGTATGTATCTGTTAGAGTGATAAACAATTACTCACAATTATCCATAGACATATCTCTGTGCCATTGTCATTTTAAAAGACCGGCTTGTCTCGTTCCACCGATGCCTAAGTCAGTATTTATCCATCTCTAGTGATATTCATAACTACCCTACAACGGTCCGAGAAAGGGAATATATCAGTTTAATTGCTTGTCGCAATACCAGGCGAATTGACTGTATACAACCATTATTACTGTTAGGCCTTGATTGGAATTAACTTAAAAGGTGGTCCTTTGGCGTAACTAATCGTCACATATTACATGTAACTGTAGCCTCAATGGAGAATGGAGTAGTTTGCCAGAACGTGTCATTGAGCTCCTTCCTTCTTCTTTTAAACCTCCCCAATTGGGGAATTACCTACAGATTAACAGCCTGTAGATTTTTAAGAAAGAACTACTCCCTGCCAAGAAAAATAGTCTCTAACGTAAAGATATAGTTTTAAGGCAGGCACTCTCTGAACTCAAAATTTTCCCCATGCCACCATCAACCAAAACACCAAGATCCGAAATCGCGATATCGACCAAAAGAGATTGAAGAGCTCACAGGAGCAAAAAAACATATTGCAATGCGTAATCTGGGAATCGAACCCAGGGCTCCCCGACTCTGTTCGAATGGCAACGGAGAATTTTACCACTAAACCAATTACGCTTTTGTTGAAGAAACTGATTGGTATTGAGCCATATGGAACCTGGATAAACAGCGTTGTCGAGAAACCCGTCCCTTGCGCATGTCTGTTGTCGACGGCTACATTCAAGCATGATTCTAAATGAACACTAGGGTATTATCTCCGAGAGCTCAAAAGGAGCCCAAAAACATTGAAATCCGTCTTCCATCGTACGCCATCCCCACTGATTCTAATGGACCCCAGGATCCCCGTTACCATCACGACTGCCTACTTCTTGACACCACGGGCGCTGACCTCGCCCTTCTCACCAATGTTGAGCTTAATTCGGCACTCAGGACAGTACCACTTAGTCGTTCGGGCAGGTACCTCTTCGAGGCCGACACATTCGAGGTGAAACCATTCCTGCTTACACTGCTGGTTTGTCAGTTTTATGTCTGTTTGCTTCTTGCGTGCCGTTGAGGAAGAAGGGTAGGTATTTGAGGCGGTAGAGTCGCTTACGTAGTCGGCATTTTCGCAAGCAATCATTGTGCCAAAGCTGACTCTGTTACAGAGACAATACCTCGGCTCGTCTGGGTCAATCGGGTTCCCATCATCGTCAACATCTTCCAGCTCGACTTCGACAGACCCCTTATCCTTCTTCGCGCGAGCCTTCTTCTTCGGTGGCGCCTTTCGTTTACCCACAGCGCTGTTACCGCCGCTTTTGGTGGTGCTAACAATTCCAGGAGCAGGCCGTTTGGTTCGCTTCAGTGGACGAGGCTCAGGAGCAGGTGTGTTGCGAGCGGTGCTCGCTCGTCGTGGTCGATCCGCAGCTAACGAAGGCTGCGGCTCTTGACTCGCAGCTTTACCTCGAGAGCTGGGCCGGCGTATAGCAAGACCTTCGGAGCCAGCAGTCAATCCAGGAGTAGGCGCTCGAGAAGGAACTTGTTTGTTTGCTGTCTTGCTTGCTACTTCGTGAGCAAGTTGCGAGAGTGACGGTGGGGGAGGGGGAGGGGGGGATGTTGGGGGAGCAAGAGCAATTTGTACATGTTGGAGCTGAGGTGCCGGGGATGAGTTCTGCTCAGTTTTGAGAGGTTCCTCTTCAGATATCTCCGGAATTGGCGGGATTACTTGAGGCGGCGGTAATTCTGCTTGCTGTTGTGCCTGCTGTGTTCGCTTTGCTGCCTCACCTCGGGTCTCTCTTTTACTATTCTCTCTCACTGGAGGTAGCACAGGAGTCACAGACTTTCTTGTTTCTGTCAATGGTAGAGGAACTGGAGTCTGTTGAGGGGGTTTGGAAGGTCCAGTAGCAGATGTTGTAGTTGGAGTTGGTGTTGGAGACTTTACCGACCCTCTTGTGGTCCTGCCAGGGATAGGTATGGGAACGGGGGTTTGTGTGTGTTGCGCCGCAGCCAGACCGCCGGGCGCTGTAGGCGCAGATGATGCCTGCTCAGGACTCGGGCCCTTATTCAAAGTAAGCTGAGGAGGCGGCGGGACTGGCGTCTCGGTTTTGGCTCGCTTGGCCTGAGGCCGTAGGGATTGGCTTTCCGTCTTTTCAGCACTCTCGTTGCTGTTGTTGGGTTCCCCTGGCTCCGGCTCCCTTTTTCGCTTGGTCGACCGCGATGCAGCTCGGGTTTTTGCGGGCTTTGGAGCCTCTTTGGGGGTCTCAGATGTTGGCGTTTTTGGAGTTGCTTGGTTTCCATTGTTGTTGCTGTTGTTATTGTTGCCGTTTCCGAGAAACACCTTTGCAGCCTCGTTCATCTTCCTTGCAGATTCCTCCGCTTCCTCTGCTGCCATCTTTGCAAGATTATCCCTCTTTAATTTCTTGGCCTCGTTTAGTTTCATGCCCCTGTTGATGGTCGGGACCTCTTCAGCCTCGAGTACCTCAACACTCATGGCACCGGCCGGAAGTTGTTTCTCCCCAGATTCGGAGTCTACAACCGGCTTGGGAACTGTGGGTTCGAAGGACTCTCCTTCATCTTCGGCCTTTTTTTTGGCCTCATGATACGCATCAGGACCACGTCCTAGAGCTTTGAGCTCGCGAGCGATCATGGTCTCGCTGGGAGTCCATGTTGCATTCTTCTTCATACGTTTCCGCAACTTGGCCAATTCATATTGAGTGAGCTGTAGCCATGGGGCATCAGGACTGCCCACAACGGCATCTTCAGGCGGAGGCTGAAGTAGAGCGGCGTTGTTAGCGGCAGCCGCTTGGCTCAGAGCTGGCGTAGCATATGTGACTGGACGAGCAAGCCGGTTTGGTGTCTTGGGTGGTTTAGTAGTAATGACCTTGATTCGTGCACCGGGAGCAGGCGTTCTTCGATTTGGCGCGGGCGTATCAGAGTCTTCATCTGAGCTTACTTCGCTTTCATCGGTGTAAGAGTCATAATCAAGATCGTACGGCGCCTGTATCTCGCCGGGTACAATAATCCTAGAAACTTGTGGACGCCGAGGCTTCTGGCCATCACCAGCCGCTTTATTCGGCGCCTTACTCCTTGCTAATTGTGGCGATTTTGATTGAACAGGACTCTTGGGTTCTTCTGTTGGATAGTTGTCTCTCATCTTCCGTAGTTTGGAGAGTAAAACTTTGGCTTTGGCGTAGTGCCGATTTATGTTCTCGGACATTCTGATAGCTTCAGCATGGGCGAAGGTGCGAGAGTTGATGGCTTGCTCCAGCTGTTCAGAGATATCTGCCCTCAGTTGAACCGGCGCCGGGCGCTCCTCTTGGGGAAGTGTTGGTAATCGGCCCCATATTGCTGTCAAATCGTGAACTTTGTGGGAAGCATTCGCATAGGTTTGGTCGAGTTGGCCGATAAGGGTAAGGGATCGCACAATGTCGGAAGGTAGATAATCGGTGAAATCGAGGAAGTCTGTCACAGTTGTCTGGGCATCAGGATCCACGCGCGATTCCATAGATGCGAGACTGTCGATGCGCTCAAGCGAAGGCGCTTTTAGAGGTAAAGTCCGAGTCGTTGGAGAGATGGTCTCCATGTTTGTGTCGCCATCGAGATCTGTTCCTTCAGCCATCATCGCAGTCTGGGTTTGACGCGCCCAAAGGTAAAAAAAACACAAGAGAAATCGTGCGAGAAGCGCAAACCAGGACGTTATAGTGATGGATAATCTGGTGAAGCCATTTGTCGATGTGGGTTATTGCGCGTCGAGAGCTAACGCGACGGGAGCTCGTTGGCGACGTCAATAGTGGCCTTGGTGCGCTTGCCCCAAAAGGATCTAGCCCCACATGAACACCCCGCGAAGCTGACTCATCACTCTTTAGGTGTAGTTCGAGCTCCAGAACCTTGTAGGTAGGTAGCTGCCTGTATGCCAGGCTACACTGCAACTTGAAACTTCCAGTTGCCGAAATAATTCTGCGCTTTTGCGATTTGGAATTTGCGCATATGCGATCAAAAAATATTCTGTGTACCTCCAGTGTCTAGTCGGAGCCCAAGGCGTCCCCGTGATCTAGCGGAACGCCTTGCCGAAGGAGTCATGATAGATCATGGAACCTCTAGCGCAGTATGCCTTGGCCGTGGAAACTTGGGAGTCACCTTGAAACTCGGCAACACTTGTACCGATTACCGAGATTTTCAAAGATGTCTTTGTTTTTATGGGACATCATACCTTGTGGATTGAAAGTTTCCAAGCTGAGTGGACTCCAACACTGGAATTACAAAACTCAGAGGTCATTGAGCAGGGGGTTACTGGTCATGTTCATGAGAAATCCAAAGGCATTTCTTTAGCAGTCTCGGACTTAGTGGCGCTTTATGTTCCCTTGTAACTGTATATTCCAATCTAAAAAATATCTTCTGTTACAGTCTTGTCCTTGTGAAAGACTTCCTCCTCTAAGATAGACATGAATCTATGATGATCTAGGTATCAAACGCCAAGCAAAACGACCGAAATACATTCCCAAAAGTAAGTCCGAGACACAATTCCCAATCTGATAGCACAAATAGTCCCAGTCATAGCCTCCTGAAGATGCAAATGACTCCCCATTCACAATTTCATCACATCACAACACCCAGTTACCAGTCCCAGTCTGGCTCAGTCTCCCTCATCATGACAGCTCCGGCCACTTGCTCAGACTCTGTGACATAGTAGTTTGAGTCGCTTCCGATCAGTGTCAGAGTTCCGTAGACAATAAGGCGTCGGCATTTCCTTTCTCATGTTAGCTAAGCCATGGCCATAGCTGCAAGTATACCTACAATAGTCCTGTGATGCTCACGTTTCCATAAATCTCCAAGTCTGTGGCCTCGAGTGTTCCCACGACTCGGAGCTTTCCACAGCCCTTGATCTTGTCGTTGGCAACGGTGTATCCGTTCACCAAGATGTTTCCATAGGCCTTGACCTTGCCACTGTTTCTTTGTCAGTCTCGTATCACACTCAGGAGAAGAATCAAACTCACTCGCATCTGATGCTTCCGTTCAGACCAAGGCTTCCATAGGCGTCAACCTTCTCTCGAACAATTACATCGCCGTTCAGGCTGATGCTGCTTCCAGACTTGACGGATCCAACAACCTCAATTGGTCCGTTGAGATCGATCTCATGGTCGCTCTTGATGCTTCGAGATCTCTTGAAAGCCGGGGGCCTAGCGTAGGAGGAGGTAGTGTTGTAGTAGCTAGCCATATTCAAGACCTTCGGATCCGTTTCTTTGTTTCAGGTGTTCTCGCAGAAGATTGCAATTGTTGTTATAGTGATAGTGATAGTGATTGCAGATTGTTGTGCAAAGATTTGAGTGAAGATGGAATTGTGAAATACTGTCCTTAGGAACAAGGACGTTCTTCTTATACTTCATGTTTTCAACCCGTTTGCGCAGAGAGGTTGAAACTACACATAGGCAGACTGGAGCCTCAAGAGACTCACGTCCATACAAACAACCCCTTGCTATGTTAGCCCCAGCCATAAGGCATATCTTGCAGGACGATATGAGACCCTTATTACTCAAGCCAGGCACGGGACCCGTAGATGGATACCGAGATGCCGGGCACTGCAACAAAAAGGCGTGACGCCTTATGCAGGTTGGAGCAATAGAGTAGAGGCTTATCGGGCTAGCCAATGGAGATATGCAGGTCTAGAGAAGGGATGGGAGGACTAGTAGTAGTTTGTGATTCATCTTGAACCTACCTAACCAGACCGGGTGACCAGGTATCAGACTCTTGATCGGCATTTCAACTTTTGCCGTGATTGATTGATTCATCCCAAGATAACACTACTCTCATGTTATTTCTCTCTAGGTTGACATGATTGTCGTATTGTTCAAGCTCATGAGTCTGGAAGAGACACTCAAGGCACTCTTTGTGGAGTCCCCAGCCTAGTAGAAGTGTCTAACAACAGGGGTGTATCAAGTCGTCCTATATCCAGGACCGAGACCAGGACCAACGCCTCATTCTGTCCCACGAACACCACCATTTCACAATCTCGACAATGAACCATGACTGACTAACTTCATTTCTTGCATTCACATGCCCAATGCGTCATAAAAGACCCAGAAATTGGGGAGCCGGCTCAGCTGGGCCTGTAAGCTTAGGACTCAGTTTACTGGTGTTTGCCTGGGGAGACATATCCCCTTGAGTATACCGAATTGTCGATCAGTCTGCATCCGATTCTGCTGCCTTGATTCTCGGGCGTAGTCTAGTGTACATGTACTGTATCGTATCCCGCTGCAGGCATTTTTAACGTTGAAACCCTTGTTCTCGTTAAGAATCGCCCGAGGCTGTACAGTCTCTTAGTCCCGTTAGTCTACATCGACTTGTCCCCAGTTGGATCTGCGCCTCAGCCCTATGACTGACCTCCTCTTGTTGTTAATTCGCTGATGCTAGAATATCCCCGTTTAGAGGCGCACACCACCCTGTTTCCTTCTAGAAGACGCCAAGCCGTTGCCCAGGATGCCCCGTCGTTGCCTAATAAGCAGTCAAGGCACCTGTGCGATATCTCGACAGTCCCAGCTGCGATGAATTCAGTGTTTCACATCTGCCTAAATATCCCTTCGTAAGATATGAATCGACGGCTTTAGAGAAGAACTCCTAAAAATGGTATTCATACGATAGCAAATCAATAAAAACCCGGGTAAAATTACATAGAAAAAAGGCACTATAAATATCAAAACCCATGGTCACTTGACTTGACAACGAATTTAACATTATCAAGTAACCACGCCCTGAATCCTTCTGACTCCGATCGATAAATGAAACCGGGGTATTAATCCCTCCATCTCAAATCAAGTATATTCTCGACACCCTTTCCTTGCTCCCCACCAAGTTCGTCTTTGTAAGGCTGATATAGCCTTCTAGAATATGACGTCTCGGTCATTTAATCTCCGCCCACGAAGCCCAGACCAATACCGCTGCAGATGGCAGCAAATGCCCAGACGCCCGCATACACGGCAGCTCCAGAGGCATCGACACGATACAAGGTCTTGGACGAGGCGAGGAACGTGTTCACTGCAGTGACAAGGGCAACGACAATTGTTCGACGAATAACCACCTTGGTCTTGACAGTGTAACCCCACACATTCCACCAAACGGTCTCCCCGAGAGATGCAGCCACGGGATCAAACTCGTTAAGCTTGTCGTCCTCCTTGGCACGTGCTGTCGTGGCGAAAGGCGCAAAGATAAAAGTGCTAGCGGCGATGCCGAACAGGGTCGTCACGGGGAGAATGGCAGCATACGAAGCATTATAGGCGGGCTCCAATGTCGGCACTCCTGAGTAGTTGACAACCAGAATGCGAGGCAGAATGAATCGTAGCGACAGGACGAGGACAACGGTGTAGATGCCCGTTGATAGAGCGGCCGTGTACGTCTGGAGGGGAAGATCGAGAAGCTCGCGGTTGGGCAGACCTGCAGCTGCGGCAGCTGAAGGTGTATGGATAGTAGAGAGCGGGCGAAGGAGGAAGAAAGGCACAGCGATTGAAAGAACGTCAATGGCAAGAGCCGAAGCCGAGATAGTCCAGTTGAGCTCATAGAAGGTTGAGAGGAGGTAGTACTGTTCATCGGTCAGTTTCTTGCTGGTCCATATTTTGCGACGGGTGGAGTCAACTGACGTGAGGGCCATGGGCGAGAAGATTCAGCATCGCAACATCGAGGCTGTCCAGCTTGCCATACCATCCCAGCGTCAACTCAATCCTAGCGACGCCATTAGCATTTCTTCTAATTCCCAAGCTTATCTGACTCACACTCTCCATCCGGCAAGAAGCGAAACCTCTGCCCAAGTATCCTGGCTTCGGCTCAGAGCAGCAAGCTCGCCGTTGGTAAGCTCGCCCAGCAAGCTGTATCCAAGCGAAGCCATCGCAAAGCTTGTCGCAACAGCGATAGGAAACTGCGCCTGGCGGGGGACCACGTCGCGAAAGGTGCGCGGAGGGTGTTGAACCTCCTTTGGCGATGATGGGATTGTCGTCAAGGCTGTGCCATCATCGCCAGCCACGGCGCTTCGTCGAGAAGTCATGGTTTGTAAGTTGAGACACGCCACTTGTCTAGGACAAATATAAACTAGGTATGGGTTCGTTGCGATGGAGAGACAGCAGGGCGCTGAGAGTTGGTGATGTTTATGTATCCGAAGTAGGTAGGTAGGTATTTCTTGTGCGTCAGGGAATAGTGACAGCTGGAGCGACAGAGTGGGGGTGATTCAGTAGATGTGACGTTGACGTCGTTGCCGTCGTCGTCAAGGGTAACTGACTTCATTTTCTCCACCCTCAGAACTAAGATGACATTGGGTTAGTCGCCTAGGAGACAAAAACTTAGACCTTCATTCTAGATGGAAAAAGGAATCTGTGCAAACCTGGCATATTATAGCATGCTTTGTGACCAATTAATTTTGGTACCCTCGCTTGTTGGCAGAAGTTTTCTTGTCCCCTGGGGTATCTTCACCAGCCGACTGAGATGAATTTTCTTCCTCAAGATAATGAGCATCTTCTTCTCTTCTTCTTCTTCTTCTTCTTCTTCTTCTTCTTCTTCTTCTTCTTCTTCTTCTTCTTCTTCTTCTTTTTTCAATTGAAGATCCATCATTCGCGCTACAATCAAGTGTGTCAAGAGAAGAAAGCCCATCCCTTTCTCCCATCTTGCTATCCCCCTTCCCCCAACAGTCCTCTAACATAAGAGCCTGCAATCTTCTTCTGCTCCGTTGTGACTTTGGACTGCGTGATGTCTCATCACGCATCTCATTCTCCTCAATTGATGCTTCTTCATTCCTATTCACATCTCATGGTGATTCAATTTTAGAACACGACAAAGTGATTCTCAATGTCTGACATCCATTTGATAGATAGGTATTTATTTGGGTGCCAACTCGACGCCTATCCGAATCCTCACTTTAACCTCGTGGCAATGCATTCTCATCTAGCTCCTCATAACCCCAAATAACCTGGGCGAAGCAAAGAAGGGCCTTTCCAACTCATCGGTGCTAAAGATCCGTGGCGGAGCTTGGTCCACCTCAACCAACACGCTGTATAGGTATGTGTACATATAAATAAGAAGGAATAACGTGTATGTCCATCGACGTCATCCCATATATAATCCAACTCCAGAGCCAACATGCCCGACCCAAGAGATATACTCCGTCCCAATCGTTAACCCATTAGTGATGCATACAAAATCTTTCATTCCTCCATGCGACCAAAAACACCATCGTCATCATCTTCACTACGACCGCGCGAACGCATCTCGAAGTCGTCGTCATCCATGACCGAATCACCGCTACCCTCCATCCTGACGTCGTCGCTAGGGCGTCTCATCTCACCACGAGTGAAGCTCTCAGGCTGTCGACTTGGAAAGCTATTGATGAAGCTTGCAGACAGAGACGCTGCCTGATCCAGGTATTGAGCTGGCAGCGGAGGAACGGGAGGGGCATCAGCAGGAACCATGGCAGGTCGGGATCCGTTGTTGCTACCAAAACTGCAGCTCAGAAGCTCAACTGCAGCAGCCAGGTCCCGATCGTCCTCGCCTGTAGCGTTTCGCCCGGAAGATCCTGGGCGGTGTTCATGGCTTGGCTGGCGGTAATGGCCAAATCCTGAACCGTACGGCACACTTCCTGCTCCGAAGGAAGCAGCCGAAGCGGACTGGAAGCTTGTCGCGTATCCACCATTGCTGCTGAAGCGCTTGTTTCGGTACGAGGTGCCGTCAACATTGACAGCTTCGGCAAAAGGAGGTGGGGTGGTGTCGGCAGAGCTTTGTCGCTCAGCGGGATCGGAGTATCCAGACGCAGCAGGCGAGGATGAACCAGCTTCACTCTGGAAGTCCTTGGTAGACTCGGGGGGAGTGTCAGCGTTGTTTTCAACGCCGTTCATGGTTACCAGGACAGAAGCAGCCTCAAGCAGTTGAACCTGCTGATGCTTGGAAATGAGCAGCTTTGAGGTCAAAGCCCACTCAGGTGTATGTTCCCACCTAGACACAGTCAGTGACACGGATCATGGATATGAAACGTTACACGCCAAAAACAGCTCTCATCTCAAGATAAGAGCTGTTGTGCTGGGGCAAGTCATTGGGAGGAGGGGGACCAACAAGTGCTTAGTCAAGCAACTGCTATGCTTGTAGCCTTTACCGCACTTGTCACAGCGAACCTCAACCCTGTTGCTCTTCTTGCTCTCTTTGAGAGTCTGGCCATCACTGGCACGGCGTTGACGAGCCTTCTGGAACTTGGTAGTTCCCTCGTCAGCCGAGCCCTCATTCACATCGTCCTCAATGGCGCTACCATTGAGTTCTTGCTTTGTTTCGGGTATCGACTTGTGGTTCGGGAGACTAGCGGGGGGAGAGGGAAGGCTACCGACGAGTGCAGCCCGGGCAGCAGCGCTCTTGGACATCCGGCGTCCACCGCTGCCGATGGGCAAGGCGGAAGAACGCTCACTTTCCCGAAGAGCGGCGGCGATCGCGGTCACATTGGTATTCGGGTTGGTGACAGACTTGCGTCGAGTCACTCGGTGGTTGGCGTTCAGAGCACCTGTTAGCAGCGAGTGCGAGCTCGTCCGGGCGTGGGATTGACGGCCGGGCAGGGCCGACGATGTGGACGACATCGGAGAACGATTCTGAGTCAATGGCCTCGAGGACTGCTGCATTTCCTGAAATGGATGAAGGAGATCAGCAAATCTGGGCCTTGGAAGGTTGTTCTGCCATCTGGCAGGTCGTGCACGGAGAGATCATGACAGGGCAAGATCGGGGTATAAGGTAGGGCTCGGGTCGGTTTCCCTCCGAGGATTGAGGGCAGCGTACTTTGGATGAGGCCATTGCCGGCGACTTGGGATGGATGTTCAGGATTCGACCGACTTCAGTCGTGTCGATCTCGAACTATGTGTTTGGATTGTTGTTGTTAGTTACTCTTGGGGCTTGAAGTTTGTAAAGTGAGGTTGTCAAGTGTCAAGTGTTGAAGAAGGAGAAGTAGAGTCCCAGAGACAAACGAGAAATAATATTTTGGGAGACCAGCCAAGGTGTGTGGCAGAAGGTGCGGGGGAGTGTATCTTGGCTCTGAATAGATGGCTGTGTGATTTTATCACCTCGCTAGTACCCATTGAGGAATCACTGAACATGACCTTGGCCTTGGAAGTATGAGAGGGGCCTCCCTCTATGGCTCTACCTGAATGAACCAAGTAGCCAAACAAGCCTGGAGCGGCCACCGGTTCCAACGCCTTCTCCCGCAGGCCCAGGGGCATCCATCCATTCAATGGCGACAGGTGGAGAGTGTAAGACGAGCCAATTGGTTGGCTCTGTTGCCCGAACTGAGTTGCAGCAAGGAAGAGGAGTGGAAGAGCGCCTGACCTGGCTCGTGGGGGGCGTGTCCTTTGTAAACAGTGGGCGTACGATGCGCCCTATTAAGGAACTGGCCAGAGAGAACGTCGCAATCGGACGGCAAACAGGGGCTGAGCCATCTTCCCCTTGTTGTCGACCTTAATAGATAGATATGTAAGCAGGAGATACGACACGATAGTGCCTGGCTCCTTTTGTGAAGAGAAGAGGAAGCTGCAAATGTATAAACTTCATTGTTGACTTTCAGGTACCATCTACCAGCGAGAAACAGCGACAGGCGAGGGAGACGGGATAAGACTACCTTACCTATGGGCGGAAATCCGAGGTACGTCCCCTCATTCCCCTCCTTGTGGTGCATGAGGCGCTGTGCTTTGCGCTGTGCCCATGATTGGATCCTTGGATAGGCTTTTCTCGATAAGGTATGAGATGGGTGATGGTTCTCTTTGTGCACCATCATAAAAAGAAGTGCAGACGTGCTAGGATCCTCTTGTCCGCTGCACAACGTTGTAGCCAGGGGATGAAACTAACCGTTTCCCTGGAGCAGCTGTATCTCAACTCATCAGGTCCCGTCTGGCCTGGACAAACGTTGCCGGTCTAGATGGAAGACGAGTTCAGCGGGACATGTCAACCAAGTGCGATAGCAAGGGAGAGGTGCCGGGTCGCGTTCGGGTTCTCATCGTCCGTTTTTCTTGTTGGGAATCATCAGGAGTCAAATCGCCTCTGCCATGGACGATTCTGGGCTGATTCGTCACCCGACGCGTCCATAGTACAGTACACGATTTTGTACAGTTCACTCACTCACCCACAGCACTAGAACTTGCTGCCTGCTCTGGCTGCTCGCTCTCCATTTCCCCAACTTCCGAGACGGGTAGAGTGGACAGTGGCCCCGTGGCCTTAGCTTGGCGAGGCCATCCGACGTCCGCTCCAGGCTTAATCGAGATGGGCAATGAAAGCTCGCACTGGGCGGAGAGGGTGTTGATGAAATGAACGAGGGAGGACTGATTTGGAGATGGACATGGAGTGGGGTGGTGTTGAAGCCTGGGGGATCGAAAGAGGGGCTGTACACTCACACGGTACACGGTGTGTCTCCATACTGTACTGCAAAGGTGCGCGCTCACTCTCTCTTCAACTTCGCTGAAGCCAGCCAAGCCAAGCCTGGCTTGGAGGCGATGGCAGACCACTTGAGACTTCAATCCCAATAGGTACTTATGCGACAAAATATTTAGAACATCATAGGATTGTATTGGGGAGATTCAATACTAGTGACCTTTTTGCCTAGAATACTTTTTACCCTGATTTATGGTCTTGGTCTTCACAAAACCGAAGGTCGCGCAGAAGAGGGCTGCTCGATATGTCTCGATGCGCGAGCCACTTCAACCATTGAAAACAATAGTTCGATGCATGTCGATAGCATACCTGGAAATGACAGTACAGTACGTTTCTGTGCGGTGATAGCGAACGTGTCTCAGATTCTGCTTCTAAGGTCCAGGTGTCCTTCTCGGTCCTCGATTTGATTCGATAATTGTTTAGTTTTTCTTCACCTCGACCCAGTGACCGACTCATCTTGCATCGGATATTTTAGAAGCGAGCCGAGAGTCTTAACCGAGAATCTTACTTCTAGCGATCGATATACCCTGCATCGAAACTTTTACTGCCCTCATGGAATAAACTCTTCCGTCTTCTTGTGGCTTGAGGTCCCCCACGATACAATGA